GGGACCACACCTATGCAGGTGCCAGAAGAGAACAGCAGATTCCCGCGACCGGAGTCACGGGTGTGAGCAGCCGTGTGCATTCTGGGGACCGAGCCCAGGTCCTTTGCAAGAAGAGTATGTGCTCTTCAAAAGGGCCGAAGCTCCAGCCCCCGAGAAGGTTCTTTCTCAGGGGTCCAACTGTATTGTTTTCCTCTACGACTTTATGGTTTGAAATTTTGTGTGCTTGAGTAGAGTGGTTAAGAACAAAGATGATCCATTAATTACTGGCCCCGGGCTTCATAGTTTGGTGGACTTGATTAAACTTTTCAGCCCCAGCTTCCTTAATTGTAAAATGATAATTATGGCAACACCCAGTTAGAAGAAAATAATTTCTATATGCTATTAATAAAGTGTCTGGTTCTTATAGATAATAAACAGTAACTGCATATTTTACTATGGATGTATGGGCAGGAACAGTTTTTTCCTCAGGTGGCTAGACAGTGCTACGTCTCAGGAGCCATCTCTTCTGTGTTTCTCCTCAGTGCAGCCCTGTGCACCCCAACTCCATTGTTTCCCCACTGATTTGTCAGAATAGTCACATTTGTATCATAGTGGTTAAACTCTGTAGCCTTAAAACATGCAACCAGGTACATGGGAAACACATGCTGTTCCTTTTGTCAACTCTTGTAATTATTTTCTTGTTTCCTTTCCCCCACATGACTTTTAGATTTATTTTAAACATTTTAATCAAACAATGTAATGGGAAAACATCTCGACATCAGTGGTGTTAGAGGTATCACTTAGAGCCTCTCATTTTCAGATCTTATAACATGTGAGGAGACAGCCACGCCCGCTGCAAGCCACCAGCGCTTGATGACACAACACTTAGATGAATGAAGACATTTTATGGCTGCACTTATATAGGGAACAACAGCGATAATTTACTAGCCGCTAAATTCAGTTGTTGGGGCTTGTTTAGCTCTTATGGAAATGGCCAACACACACAATCTACTGTTTAGTCAGTGGGAACTCTACAGTGGCCCCTGTGTGGCTTTTCCATTTTCTATACTGCTTGGAATGAAGTCTAGGGCTTCGCATGTGCCTCTCACCACTGAGACACATCTCCCATGGCTTAATGCAGCAGCCCTTACCATCTGACATGAGGCAAAAGTGGCTGACTAGATTGTTTCTCAACAGGTTGCTACAGATTTTAATAGGTAGTGAAGTTACTTCTAATCTTTGCATTTAACCGCTGATATGGGGACATTTTTATCATCCATATGAATGTATTTTAAACTATTGATAAAATTATTTTCTGTCTTAGTTTTAGCAAATGTATTTATTCTAACTAACAATAAAAACCATTTTGTTTTGTGTTTCATTCATCAGGGCCATGGCTTTATTAAAAAAAGACACCATTATAATTTATAATTGTTAATGGGTTTTGAGGTCTTAATGATAATACTTTTATTTGAAATTATAAATCATAGCCAATATCCATTGCACTTAGCTGCTCCTTATGAGAGTAAGCTTCTCTCAGTGCTGATAGAGGCGATTGTCTTTGGTATAACTTGAAAATAATAGAAAGCATTTCTAAGTTGTACGTAAGCCAAAGGAGTGACACAGTGTTCACCAAGCACAAGCCCTGTGCTGAATACACAGGGTGCCGAAAGGTGCTGCATCGTTCTGGTTTGATTCTTCCTCACAATTACCATTGTGGGTGTCAGAAGTTGAAGGTAACACATTCGCTTAGATCTTCTCCTCCTCCTCCTCCTTCTTCCTTTTTCTCTTCCTCCTCCTCTGCCCCCTTCTTCTCCAAGATAGGCTTTCTCTGTGTAGTCCTGGTTCTCCTGGAACTTGCTCTGTAGACCAGGCTGGCCATGAACTCAGAGATCTGCCTGCCTCTGCCTTCCAATTGCCACCATGCTGGGCTTAAATCAGGTCTTCTTTTTTAAAAAGGGCTTCTTAAAATTTTTCCATTAGTGACCCTTTTTGCTGGAGAATTTTTTTCCATCAGTATATCTCTTTTTTTTTAATTTTTATTTTTTTAATTAATTACACTTTATTCACTTTGTATTCCCCCTGTAGCTCCCTTCCTCTTCCCCTCCTAATCCCACTTTCCCTCCCCCTTCTTCAAGCATGGTCCTCCCCAAGTCCACTGATAGGAGAGGTCCCCCTCTCCTTCCTTCTTATGTTAGTCTATCAGATCTCATCAGGAGTGGCTGCATTGTCATCTTCTGTGGCCTGGTAAGGCTGCTCCCCCGTCAGGGGGAGGTGATCAAAGAGCAGGTCAATCAGCTTATGTCAGAGGCAGTCCCTCTTCCCATTACTATGGAACCCACTTGGACACTGAACTGCCATGGGCTACATCTGTGCAGGGGTTCTAGGTTATCTTCATGCATGGTAGTTGGTTGGAGTATGAGTCTCTGGAAAGACCCCCGTGTTCAAATTTTCTGTTGCTCTCCTTGTGGGGTTCCTGTCCTCTCCAGATCTTACTATTTCCCTCTTCTCTCATAAGATTCCATGCACTTGCTTGAGAATTTCAAAAATTCATTTTATTTAATGCATATGAGTATTTTGCCTACATAATGTTTGTGTATTTCATGCATTCCTGGATGACTAAGGAAGTGTTGGATCCTCTGGGATTGAATTACAGGTTGCTCTGAGCTGCTATGTGGGTTCTGGGAACCAAGAGCCAATGCTCTAACCTTGAGCCATCGCAGTACCTACAACTTTTTATTTTGTTTTGTTCTTTGTAGGTATGTGTAGGTGTCCATGGAGCCAGAGAAGTTGGATCTCCTGGAGTTGGAATGATAGATGGTTGAGATCCACTTGATGTGGGTGCCAGGAACCAAAGTCTGGTCCTCTGGAAGAGCAATGCATGGTTTTAGCCAGGGATCCCTCTCTCTGGTCTTTTGTCTGGGAAAGGTTTATGAGCTGCCATGTACATAGGCACATAAAATAGGCATGCAGATCAAAACATTTACTGATAATGTATCCTGAATAAATCAGCCCAATTGCTTAGTATATGTATTTGTGTGTTATTGTGTGATGCATAAGTGTGTCATGTCACAGAACACATGTAGAGGTCAGAGAACAATTCTGTAAGGTCGGCTCTTTACTTCCACTTTTGCATCAGTGCTGGACTGAGCTCAGGTCGTCGGGCTTGCATGGCTAGTGACTTCTCCTAGCGTGTCATCTCACTGACCCAATTCTATCATTTATTAAAAATGAATGCTCTGAGCAGTGGTGGCTCATGCCCTTAACCCTAGCACTTAGGTGGATCTCTCTGAGTTTGAGGCCAGCCTGGTCTACAGAGCACGTTCCAGGGCTACACGCCAAAGCTACACAGAGAAACCCTGCTTCAAAAAAACAATCAAATAAAAAATATGAATGTAAAATTATATACTAATGACATGGACGCTCTTGTTTATTTTTTGTTGTTAAGAACACTGTCTTTGGGGCTGGATGGCTCAGTGCTTGCTGCTCTTACAGAAGACCTGGGTTTTGTTCTCAGCGCCCAGACCGGGCAGCTCATGATACACTAACTTCAGCTTGAAGGGTGCTGATGGCCTCTTCTGGCCTTTCTGGGCACCTGCGCATACCTAGGTAAGATAACATAGCTATTTGATCCATACCAGGTGGAGTGTCCTCAATGATTTTCAGACCTTCCTTTTTTTTTTTTTAATTTTATAGTTGTCAGTGCTGAAGATATCTCTCTGTGCAACACATGGTACAAAATGGCAAAATGTTAAGAGCCATTTCAGGAATTGTTGGAAAGTCTATCTTAATCCCAATCCATTTAATGTGAAATGCAAGTCAATGACTCTAAAAATCAATCATTTTAACATAAGTGAAATTAAAGACATGTTTATGCTGAGGAACGATGGCAGGAAAATAAATATTACAAGTCTTTGTTTTCTGTAATTAAACCATGATGTTTAATATGTACAACGAACACTGCAGTTCATAGCATACGGCTGTCTAGAACCTGGGCCCCGGTGTTTCGGGCAGTGTCCACTGTGTGGTGTGAGCAAACACCCGCTGTAATGTTCACGCTGCACACTCAGGTCCAAGGCTGCAGCGAAGCCACCTTGTGTGACATGGGGGAGCAGGACAGAGCACCTGGGCTCACTACACACTTGCTGAATCAGCCCGTGGGCAGCCAGTGTGCTGCCTTCCGTGGTTCCTTTTGCTGCTGTTTGCAACCTCACCCATCACTCACCCACGCGGGGCTACAGCCCTCAGCTCAGGAAGCTCTCCCCTAAGGCATTTGTGAGGAGGATGGGTCTTTCAGAACGTCACAGTTATCTCTTTTGCGGCCCTCTTGAAAAATGTGGAACACTTTCAGCATTTAAAAGAAGTCTGGCGAAAACATAGCAACTTCGTACGTTTATTGCTTGGCTCAAGCATTTGAAATGCAACTCGACAGCATTTTCCTTTTCTTAAAAAAAGCAGTACCTTACTGGTCTAAACTACAGGATTTGCATACTCTGGGTCTCTTGTTTTCACCAAGCCTATTGCATCAATATATTCATTCTCCTTTTTTTATTGAGGATGCCCGCTGTGCGTCCTTGGCTGCGCATGCTGTGGTGCACACTGCTGGAGTCCTAGAGCAACACTAGTTAGCAACTCTAACCACGGGGCGAAAGGCCTTAACTCACTTGACTTTACTTAACCGTCATCACAGGCACCAACTCTCCCCTCTCCTTTCCAAGAAAAACATGATTTTCTAAACCCCACCGAAGAGCCAAGGAAAGAGGCACGTTACCTGTCAACACTGAGTGCGCAGAGGTTTAGGACGGTGATGCCCACGGACGACTTCTGCAGGAAGGGGAACAGCTTGCAGAGAAACACTCCAAAGTCATTGTGGTCAAAGGGCCAGCGCCCGGCCAGCAGCTGAAAAGATGAGGTGGGAGTGAGAGACGGCGAGGCTGGCTGGGCGTGCGCCGCGCTTGTGTCCCTGCTTACACCCTTATTATTTTGTGAGCCTGTGACCAGACCTTTTAGCCTTCAGGTCCCCTACCCCCTTCTGAATAGGTTTTGTATTGTTGTTGATTTTTTTTTTTTTGGAGGGGTGAGGGAGGAGGGTGAGACAGGGTTTCTCTGTGTAGCCCTTGCTGGTCCCCAATGCCCTCTGTAGACCAGGCTGGCCTCGAACTCAGAGATCTACCTGTCATTGCCTCCCGAGTGCTGGGATTGAAGGTGTGCACCACCACTGAACAGCTCTGAGGAGCGTTTTCAAAGAACCTTTTGATTTGAACCAACCTTACACTCCTAGCCCACCTCTTCCTCATGTCACTCCAGCCAGTCAGTCCCAACTCATTCATGAAAATTGCTGCATAAGCTCTGTCCTGATGTGCACAGGCTCTCCACTAATGTGCTGCTCTGAGCTCTGATATTCCTCGGGAACTTCACGAATATGTTATGACTGGCTGCCTGGTGTCTTAGTGCAAGCAAAGGCGCAAGGCACAATCACCCTAATAAAGACAAGGATTGTGGTTTTAACGTCAGCTTGCCACAGATCAGAATCAACTGAGCAGGGGTCCTCACTGGAAGACCTCTCCTGGTTGCCTCGGTTGAGGTGGGAAGGCTCACTTCTGGGGACACTTCCAGGTTGAGCACCCCTTTATTCTTATCCTTCGCTGGCATGGCTTTTCCTCATGCCCCTCAGGGTGCTTTACCCTGTGGTAGCTGCCTCTGCCGACTCCAGCAGAACAGGGACAGCGGCACTCCAGGAAATTTCCTGGCGTCCAGCGCCAGAGTTGGACTACTGAGGCAGCTGCCTGTGGAAGGAGTAAACTACCAACCATTGCCCCCAAATTAGAGACTGATGTTTTGGAACTACTCCCATTGTTGAGGCCCCCCACCTCTGCTTTGAGGCCCCCCCACGTCCGCCTTAAGGACCAAGTAATGAATGGGTTCTCAGTGCCTCAGGCGGGATTTGGCCATGTTATCATTGTAAGGCTCACTTGAACACACGGGCATCCTCTAGGCCACTAGAAGGGATCCTGAAAGTGAGCCCTCTTCCTCTTGGCTTCCTCTCTGCTCTGAGGCTAACAGCCCCCTTCCCCATGCCCTGCCACAACCTAAAACTGGACCTGCATTGCATGTTAGTCACGTTCTCACAAGTCCTTGAACCGTGGTAAGCTGATGTGGGCGATTTGTCTCACGCTGTCTTAGCAGTAAAACAGGAATAAAAGGAGGGACATCATGGAAGCAAACATATAACTTACTGACAGTTCTTTACATTTATTTATTTATTTATTTATCTATCTATTTATTTATTTATTTATTTATTTATTTATTTATTTATTTATTTATTTGTGTGTGAGTGTGTGTGTGAGTGTGTGTACATGCGCTACAGCAGAAGTGTGGAGATCAGGGTTGATGCCTCTTTCCACCATGAGAACCCAGGGAATAACTCCGGTCATCAAGCGTTGTGGCGAGTGCCTTCACCCACTGAACACACTTACTCTGTTGTTTCTTTTCTTTTCTTTTCTTTTCTTTTCTTTTCTTTTCTTTTCTTTTCTTTCTTTCTTTCTTTCTTTCTTTCTTTCTTTCTTTCTTTCTTTCTTTCTTT